TGTGGCTGCTTTTCTTTTAGCGCGCGACTAAGGCGTATCAGTTGCGTTTGGTAGCGATCTCCTGTGATGGTTTCACCCGGTATTAAGAGCTCGGTTTAAATCACACCGAGCTGATCCCACCAAATACAAATCATAACCTTGGCGCCGTGAATATTCGGTTTTGCCTTCGACGAAGAAGCATGCCCGGGCTTTCCCCATGATTTGCTGCGTTTAGGATTATCGTATCGAACCCACTTTTCATCACCGGTTACGATTCTGAGACCATTCGATGCGCTTCAGCTGCATTTTTTTTTCGAATTGTAACAGAAAAGTAAAACTTCCCGCAAATGGCGAGAATAAGGCACATAAACGGACATTTTCGAGCGTGAATAATACGAAAACAAGAACAACTATCACTGAAACGGCGATGACAAATTGTTAGGCACTGTCCACACTCACTTTAAAGGCATTATAATCTATGTATTTCAACCAGCCTCAGCCGGTACAGCCACCTATCGGAAAACGGCGGAAGCAAAGTTGTACACCTGATAATATAAAATAAAACGAAATAAACCAAATGAATACAAAATAAAATGCCCAAAAATAAGTAGAACAAAATAAATTAGGAATTAAATAAAAATTAACATTATGTATTAATTATTATACAAAATAAAATATTAAAAACAATGTAATATAAAAAATAATAAAAATTAAACCAATAAAAAATAAAAGAAAACGGGTTAATTTATATACTTTCTTCTTTTTTAATTAAATTAATTATTATTATAATTAAATTTAATTTAAATTAATTTGGTTTATAATATTATTTTGTTTTATTTTATATTAGTTTGTATTATGTTTTTTTTTTATTTAATATATATTTTATTTCATTTGATATTATTATATTAATATAGATACAAGAAAATAAAAATAAAACAGATTAAAATAAAATAAAATCAAATAAAAAAATAACGTAATATATTAAAATAAAATGAAACAATAAAAGTAAATAAAAATTAAAAAAGATAAAATATATAAAATCAAATAAAAATAAAATAAATAAACTAATATAAAAATAATTTAAAATATTAAATATATTATCATAATTTAAAAAGTTATAACGTTTATTAAAAATTAATAAAATAAACTAAAATAAACCTATATTACATAAATGTTAGTAAAGAAATTTAATAAAGTACAAAAAATAAAAAAATTAAACGAATGTCACTATTTTATTGAAATAAAATGAAATAAAATAAAATAAATTATATAAAAATCTAAATACGAATAAAATAAAGTGATATGAAATAAATTCAAATAAATTGAAGTTGAATTAAAATTTTTAGTTTTTACAGCGAGAGGTAAACACGTTCGTGATTAATTATTTCATTTTATAAATAGTTATATTTTTTCCTTGATTGCAGAAAAATATAACTATTTGCATAATATATTATTTACTATTTTCAGGCACTGTTGCTGCCCAGACAAATCTCGGACTTTGTGAGCATGAATAGAGTGGTTTATTTTCTGGTTTCACCAAAAATTTTTTTGCTTAATACCATGCAACTAAGCTTTTTATTTATTCACTTCCAAGCGGGCATTTATCAACGCTTAATACCGCAGCATACACGCCTATATGTATGCAATATTTTAGGAGGACTTTACTGAGCTCATACATCCACATCGGTGTGACCATTTTATTTGGCACTTTTTCGCATAGGTGAAAACTTATTGCTAATGGCACCTTTGCCGGTGATTAGTAACAGAATTTATTGTCTATTGATGGTTGGTAGCTAAAGCAAAATATATCACTGTTGCCCTTCTTGAGTGTGTGGGCGTGTGCAGATAATGAATACTTCTTTTTTAGGGAAAATACTTAAATTTATTCCAGAGTAATGGAAGATTTTCTGATATATCAACTTAAACTATTCGGTTAAAAAGATAAAGGTGACGTTGGACAATTCGGTTAAAAGTGATTTTGTGATTTCTATGTCAGAACAATGAAAAAAATAGATTAATAGAATTAAATAAAAATCACTTACTAAGAAATGCATATACTTTCGTATTTTCTGGTCTATGTCACAGAGACTGGTAAAAAGTAGCGGAAAAAATAACACGATTTGGAAGACTTAACAAAAATAACGAAAATATATGTAAATAAATATCATATATTTGTGCTTTCGTGAAAATAATATGTAAATATTTCTTAGCTAATGTTTATTTAATACAAAACTTTTGCATATAAATGCGACAAAAATAAAAATTGAACATATACTTAGAAGTGAATTAGGAAATTGCCAACAAATGCAAATGCATTTTACATTTACTATTGAGAATACAAACGTCTTTTCGCAAATAAAATAATAACAACAACTATACTGCAAACAAAATTAAAGCAGTAAATGCCATGAGCAAATGTAACAAACACAAAAATAGTATTGGAAAAATGTGCAAAGGAAGCGAAGTTAAAGTAAATGAATGAAATGAATTTAAATACAATTTACATAAGCAAACATATTTACATTCACAAATATAAGCAATTGTCATTACTTTTTCACATACTGTGAACTCAAAACCAGGTTGGCGTTATTCGTTGGGGCGTATATTGAACAAAAATGAATGCAAATGCATTTTCGATAGACAGTAATGATACCGTTAAATTGCATATTGCAATAGTTTTATCTTACAAAGCTATAATAAAATAAAAAAATTAGAATTGAAGCCAAAAACGAAAACAGGTAAATGGAAAATATTAAAAAAATGCTATTCTGGAATAAATAATGAAGTTAGCAAACTGAATTTTAAGAAATAAAAGTGACCAAAACACTAACGTATAAGCGAAAAAAAATTTTTTTTTTTTGGAATATCTGATTATCAGCTAGATTCTCCAAAGTTAATTTTAAGATTGGAATAACATTAATCTCAGTTTAATACCAACCCACTTTTTCAAATATATCAAAGTTATAATTTTTCCTTTGTCTTTAGGTTCCAAAATTTGAACTTCATATATCTTACTGAGTACCATAAATTTCCAGTCAATCTCTTTCAATACTAGTCTAAAATGGAAAACCATTTGATCCAAAAACCTAACTCAGCACTTGAAAACCTCACTTCAGACACAAAAACCACTGCCGGTCAACATTTATGCACTCCAAACGAGATACAATGAGTGAGTGACAATGAATACAACCAATTACAGCTGAAGTGCTGTATCCTGTTGCATCATTAAGTTGTGCACAAAAGTATAGATATTTTCTGAATTAAAAAAAGTACAAAACACAATCATAAAAAGTTTTGGAAAATTACTTAGCTAGCTAGCTGGCTGGCTGACTACCTTTGCTGGCAACAGTGTTGCAAGTGCGAATAATTTCGTATTTTTCAACAACTGCTGGGGTACTTGAACACAACACAACACAACACAATGCAAGTAACGAGCGTGCCTTTCCCAGAACTTTTCGGTTTTAGCTGTGGCACGTTCACTTTGCAGCACAGCTCAAGTGCTGTTATGGAGACAAATACAACCGTAGAAACAAATGTACACAATCTACTCGCATGCTCTGTAGGGCACTCACAGTGGAGGGATAACTAAAGTGTAAGCTGTGAATTGGTTGTCTCATTTGAGACCTAAAAGCAACTGCATAGTACTTCAATATCTCTTCTGTAGGCTGATAAGAGAATACATACATACATATATGTATACAAGTACTTAAAGGTGATATGGACGGCAACATTGTAATATTATCGTAAAGATGGCGTTTCAAAAATTAATAGTAAAATGTTTATATTTTTGTTTGTTTATTTTTTTTCAATTTGATTTAATTTAATTTCCTGTTAGTTTATTCCATTTATCTTAACTCTGTTTTAATGTATACGAAATTACCTTAAATAATTTTACTTTAAATATTTCATTATAATTATTATAAATTTATTTTAGCTAAATCAATTTACTTTATTTCATTTTACTTTCTAATGCTTTACAATTTTTGTTTTCTTTTCTTATTTTATTTTTTTAAGATATCATATTTTTTTATATTTCATTTAATCTTAATAAAATTTTTTTTCTTTTATATTTTTCTTAAATTGTAATATATTTAGTTTTGTTTCTTTTTATTTTAATTGTTTCCATTTTTTTAATTGCTTTATATTTAATTTTATTCAAATTAATATTACTTTATTTTAACATTTATTCTTTTTTGTTCAATTACAATTAATTTATTTCTTTTATTTTTTTTTAACTTCAATTCATTGTTTTTTTTTTAAATTAATTGCCTTCAGTATTTGTTATTTAATTTAATTTTAATTTAATTTATTTTATTTTATTTTATTTAATTTAATTTAATTTTATTTTATTTTATTTTATTTTATTTTATTTTATTTTAATTAAATAATTTAATTTAAATTAATTTAATTTATTTTGTTTTAATTTGCTCTTGTTTAATTTTATTTTATTTCATTTCATTTCATTTCATTTCATTTCATTTCATTTCATTTCATTTCATTTCATTTCATTTCATTTCATTTCATTTCATTTCATTTCATTTCNTTTTATTTTATTTTATTCCCTTTTCTTTTCATTTATTTTATTTTATTTTATTCTATTTTAATTCATTTTATTCCAATTTATTTTATTTCCCTATACTCAATTTAACCTAATAAATCCATTTTTTATTTTATTTACTTTATTATATTTTATATTTTTTATATTTATTATGCTTTATTTTAGTTCAGTTCATTTGATTTAATTTTTTTTATTTCATTTTCTTTTATTTCATTTTCTTCTTTTTTTTTTTTTTTAATTTTATTATTATTTATTGTATTTTTTACCTTTTTGTTAATCTTTTTTTATTTCATTTTGTTTAAGTTTATTTTAATTTACATTATTTTGTTTCATTATTTTTATATCTCTTCTGTTTTTAATAGCATAATCTAAGAAGTTTTTCTCATATATTTATAGTTTCTATGTATTATTCTAAGAAAATATTCTACTCTAAATAGAAACTGAAACAGAAAAAAAAAAACAATTTACGTTTTGTAATATGAGTTAGTTTATATTCGCATTTTTATACTGCATTTACATACATATATATTACAATCGATGCATACATACATGCCTACAGGTACAAAAAAGCTTTCCAGAAGATTTGAAAAACAATATAAAAGAAGTTGCAAGAAATCCACACCGAAGCTCACAAAAGCTCATCAAAGCCTTTATTTTTCGTCGGTTATTAGCCTCAGCCCATTTATGCATTGTTAATGATGAAAGCTTAATTGAGCTTTCGTAAATGTAAAAACTCCATTAAGCTTTCATACACTTGAAAATTTTAAACTTGTTTTGTGTATCACTCTGCGTGCTAAGAGCCCTCATTTTGAGTGATCTGCAACGAATTTACATGACTTGCAAAACTAGATGAACCAACTGGCACTTGAAGTAGGTGTGGATTTATGCTCAAAGTACGATAGAAGAAAGCCGTTAAAAAGGAAGCGCTCACAACGAATGCTATAAAGAAACCCAAACAGAATAGACAATCCTTATTAACCTGTAGACAAAGGCAGACAGCGGCACAAAAATCGGTGATGATATTCCAGAGACGTGTACAGAGTGGCGGCCGCCGCAACACACTGGAGGATGGCGAAGAATTCGCCTCGATATGTATGGTGTGGTAAGTGCGTTCACAGGGAGCAGTATCAGTGGTGCGGCAGTTTGTAGGTCCAGTTGCTTCCGTCACGATAGAAGTTACACGCGGTGCATTGGAATCTTGCGTTAAATCGATAATAGTCGGAGGTTCACGTATCTTAACCATAGCTGATTGCTCGGTAGGGCCGATAAATTTACTTTTCGGTTGCGCAGAAGTGATATCGGTGGTTTCGGTAACATCGGAGAAGGTAGTAGTGGCTATATCAGCAGTTGTACTGGTCAGCGGTTCTGTTACGGATTCAAGGTTAAACTCGTTGACAATGTCATCCTCTGTTGGCGAGATCTCCTTCGCAGTCGATGAGGTAAGTTGGCTATATGAGGTGCTGGCCAACGGTGTCATACGCCCACCAAAAAAAGCTGATGCTGTTTGACAGCCAATGGTGGTGAGACTTTGTGTTGGTTGTGCGCTCATGGCAAATGGAGACGAGTTGGTTGTACGTGCCGCTCTTTCATCGAGCAACTCCAAACCACTGACGGTGGTAGCCATATCACGATACATTGGATCCAAGCCATTTTCAACCGTTTGCTTGACTGCAAGTGTGGGCTTCATGGTTTCCCCTGCAAGTATGATTGTTTAGTGGTTATTACGACTACAAGTAAACCTGACTCTTGCTATCTAACTAACCTTTTTTTAAATCCTCTTTGCACTCACCATGCACTTCTAAATAGAACTCGTTATAGACATTACTACCAGCTGCTGCTCCAATGCCACTAGCGGTACCAGCGGAATATGGTTCCGTGTTAGCCGCACTTTTAAAGCTCAAACGCCTACGCAGTGGCATTGCTTTACTTTCCGCAACTTCTTCGCTCTGCTGCAGGCCCGGCATTTCCAGACTCTCCAAATTTTTAGTGAAGCTATCAAACATTTCCATTATTTGCTTAAAGCGCTCGGCAATTTCCTGATTTTCACGCTCCACCTGCTGGAAGTCATGGCGTTCAGCAATTCGTTTCACTGTCGGCGAAATATTCTCAGCCACAATGCGATCCACCTCTTCGTGCGCCAGACGTTCGACTTCTTCAAAGGTGCTATACTCATTGCTGACTTTGCTGGTGAAACTTAATTTAGATGCATCTTTGATGGTCTCCAACTTAAGTGTCTCCATTGGCATGTCAATAATTTCGGCTGCGCTCGCCTGTGGGATAGTAGGCGAGAGGCTTGTTAAACTCTCAACATCCTCTATACGTCTTTCGATTTGTTTGACATATTCGCGCACATTTTCGACCACTTTGCTAGTGGATGGCATTGGCATATTGAGATTTTCCATAATATGCTCCAAATTAACCGCTTCCTTCATTCTCTCATTGCTCTCTGCACTACATACTGAGTCGGTAGCTGTGTCAGTAGTATGTGTGCCTACGAGTGTTACTAGTGGCGTTGGTCGCTTGAACTCTTTTATGCTTGAAACAATATGTAAACTGTCTTCTTCGTCTGTTTCCGTATCATCGCGCTTCTCAGCTTCTCTTATGTTTGCGACAGCCGTATTCTTTGTATGCTTCTTGAGTTGTTCGTTGTGTGACTCTTCGTCCGCTTCGTTATCCTTTAATTCATCCTCAGCTGATTCTGTTGTCTGTTGATTATCTCCTTTATTATCCATTCTTAATATATATCAAAAAATTTTCAAAAAAAACTCTGAATTTTCTTTTATATGAATCCAATTTTATTTATGTGTTTTATTATTATTTTGAAGTTTCTCTAATTCAAATTCAAATTGTTTATCAACATTTTCTTACACATTTTTCTCTGTCAGCTGTGATGCCAGCAAATCGCTCTGGGTGGAGTTAATTGCAAAGCTTCCTTTTTCAAGGAACGAAAATATCGGTAAAGAGCGAAAGAGAAGTTTTAGTGTTGCAAAGAAATGAAGAACTCAGAATTCCAGCAGATATTAATTAACTTAATTAAAATAATTAATTATCAATAATTATATTTTATATCAGTGGAGCCTCTGAAGCGAAGCAGATAAGCATAAATAATATGTACAATTGATGGGATCTAATTTTAGCGATTAGTTAAATTTTCGACTACGTTATGGTTCAGTATTTATGTGGGCTGGACTTTATAAGGACGTAGGTTTTAGTTCGCCCTAATGTGCCGCATAAGAGTCGTAGCTTTTGAGAACGTCGAGAAATAACTACATTAAGGTTTCTTGGCTCAAGACTTTGCCACATTTGAAACAACACTTTCTTTTTTTTTTTGGTTCTCAAAATTTAACGCGTTGCCTGGTTGTAAGGCGATCCATTTTCATGAATGTCTACCTTTTAGTAAAAAAAAAGAAACATGCTTGGTTCGACTGTCACGTTTGACAGATATATAAACACAGCACTGTAATTTTGAATTCATGCCGCTATAGCAGTGTTATTATGGTTGTGTACTGTTATTCGGAAGCCCAGGGTGCGATGAGCATACAAATTTATGGAAAATTTAATTTTCCTAATCAAGGTCGCCTCTCAGCAGGGGATGCTAAACCCACAGAGTTTCTGACATGACACGAAAAGCTCCTTTGAAAAGTCCATTAGATGTTTGGAGGTGGCTGAGAATAATGTTTTTTGAAATATATCAAAACGAAAGACACAAATTTGAGGAGGAGCTTGGCTGAAAATCGCGAAAAGCAATGAAGGTAATAACAGCAGTTCTTATGTTAGCCAACTAGTAAATTTGAGGCCGGGTTCCTCCAAAACAAGCGTTTTTTTCAAACCAATTTTATTTATTTAAAAAAAAATGCTTATAACTCAAGGATTTTGTACAATAGATAAGTAGATGTATGAAAATATTACTTGAAATGTTTTCTTTTTTTTAAATGTAAACAAGTCCCTTTTAATGCTGAGTGACACGATAAATGTAAAAAGAGTCGTCTGAAAGCAAAAAATCAAAACGGTTTCTTATTCTGTATTATATTGGATATTTCCAGAGCTACAGTTAAACATTATATACAAAAAAAATGGCAGACTTTTTAATTTTTTACCTAATTTTTCAATTAAATAATACTGAATACGTGTATGTTTTGGTTGTAGTACCGACCATACAGATGCATTTTAGGAGTACATTTAGTTCATGTGGATGAGTTCAATAGGTTCTAAATAAGAGTATCACTCCACTCTCTCTTCTATACTTACTTCTTGGTCTTGCGTGCCTTCGGGACTAATTATGTACTATGTCCCAGGGTACTTTCAAGCAATACACAGGAAAAACAATTTTTTTTTTTAGAAAAATCTGGCCTTAAGCACATGTCAGGGAAAATATCAAGAAATACTCAAGTATAAAATTTGCTTGCAATCAACGCCTAGTACTAATGAGTGTAACTATTTTATGCCCCTGCTCTATAGTACTACGATTATCAATTGCAATCATCGGGTAGCTTTGTTTGCTCGGTTGTTTATTTTTTTTCATGAAAGCTTTTCTAAGATCTTTGTGAAAATCGTTATACAGCGTTATATACGATGGGTTTAATAAAAGCCCGATCAGTTGGTGACTTTCAATTTGCCTTTGTTAAATCTAAAAATACCAGATCTTCTGCAATTACTTTACTAGTCCTCCTTTCAAATTTTAGAACGATCAGCTGAAATGGAGACGAGAAAACGCAAAATAGCTGAGGATAGGTCAGATGAAATTCCTCCACCAACGCAAACAGAAATTCGCCATGTTTGTCTCTTCGGGTTTCGGCGTAATCCACAGCCAATGCAAATATTCAGTGAATGCCAAGTTGCATATAGAACTATTTAATCGTCTTTAAAGTTCTTTCTTAGTGATTCCATTGATTTCAGACCGGACATTTTTCCATACAGGACGAACCTCGAGAAGGTCGACCAAAGTTTTCCACTGATGACGTCACTGTCGCCCAGGTGAAGTCCAGAATTGACGAATACCAACGATTGACACAAGAAATCATTGCTTATGCATTGAGCTTGAATTCCATGGCTGTACCATGAATATTAAGTAATCATTTGAGATACACAAAGAAATCTGCTCGATGGATACCACGAATTTTAAATGAGGCCCAACAAGAGGCTCGAGCGCATTTTGCTCAAATTTTCTTAACAAATTCAAAAATAATCAGTCAAGCAACTTTAGTAAAGTCGTTACTGGTGACGAATCTCGGATCTATAAGAACAATTCAGAAACCAAATAGCTCCATGGTATGGAGCTTAACAGGAGCAAATCCACCCGTGAAATCTAAGCAACAAAAATCAGCAGAAAAATTAATGATGTCAGTTTACTTCACGCGATCTAAAATCGTAGCCGCTATTCCACTGGAAAAGGGTCAGACGGTACCAACAAAATGGTTCACAGAAAAGGAGAGGTATCTTATTGCAACGAGGAGATAATTAATGCGGTTAATGGTGAACTTGATAAGCTTAAAAAGCAAAATTTTGAAGACTGTTCATCAGTAGATCTGTAGGCTTAAGAAATGCATTGAAATCGATTATGTAGAGAACATAAGACATTAAATACAAAAACAATTTTTTTCTGGTCAACTAACAGTACATCCTCCATATGTTGATCTTTTGTTTGCTTACCAATATTAAGGATCTATGTACATTCATATATTCTTCCAATAATGTAAATATGATATGCAATAGGTGTTGTGCTGGTCGTGCGATGAGATTTTTGATACCATTTTAAAAAATGTTGTGAAGCTCTCAAATGCATTATCATTTAAGGATGCGTAACACAATTTTTTGAAAGCAGGTATTATTATAATAAAAATTAAAAATGTGAATAATCGGACGATAAGTGGAAATGTGGTTCTAAGTTAACTGCAGTAAATTAATTCATTGAAAGCAAAAAATACGAATTAAGTTTTGAAAAGCATAGAAAAAGACATATTTTATTGTCCATAATGAAGTTGTAAAAAATAATGTTAGATCATAAAAGAAAAAATTTAAATTCATTAAAATGACCTGGCATATTAGATAATTTTTGTAAGCGCCACAAACAAGTTATTAACATACTTAGACACTGAATTACAATATCGCCAACATAAGTACATACGCCAAACTGAGCTAATAAGCTGTTGTGGATAAAAATGCATAAGGGTGATTTCGAACTTCAATTAAAAATAAAATCTACGCAACTCTAAATTGAAGATTTGTTATAGATTTTGGTCAAGTAACCACTGATTCAATACTATTTCATTAAATGGATTGAGTGATCTGTATCTCATGTTACTCTAACGGGAAAAAACCTCATGGACCCAATTTTCATCAGATAATCGCTGCTAAATCACAACAAATTCGAACCATTTCTGAAGCGAATGGCGACTGGTGATGAAAAGTGTATCACCTACAGCAACGTCGAATGAAAACCGTCGTAGGCTCAGAGCAGTGAGCCGGCACAAACGGCTTCCAAACCAGGATTGAAGCCTAGGAAATTATCGTTGTGTGTTTGGTGGGATTGATAAAGAATTGGCTATTATGAGCTGCTGCCTTACGTTCAAAACTCTGAGAAAAGAAATCACCCATAAGCGCCGTGGTTTGGCCAACAGAAGAGGAAATGTCTGTCATCAGGGCAACGCCAGACCACACACACATCGACAGAAGCTCCGAGAATACACATTAAGGCTTATGGAATTTGTATTGAATACGTGTATAACAGCTGATCCAAGTAGAGGTACTTTTATCAATAACCCTGGCTCAATGGGTGTGTAAACAAACAAATTGCATTTAGGACGAAGAGCAACCTGAAGAGATTCAAGAATTGCCATTTCATCTAAAAAAAAAAAAACAACGGTTTGGTTTGGTTTGTGGGCAGGTAAAATTGTCGACTCATATTTCTTCAAAAATGATGCCGGTGAGAGAGTAACCGTCAATGGCGAACGTTATCTTGCCATGATACCCGACCTTTTGATGTCTGAAATTGAAGCTCGTGATCTCTGTGACAATTGCTTTCAACAAGACGGTGACACTTCCCACACGTCGCAGCAGTTAAAGGATTTATTGAAAGAACTCTAGAACACAAAGTGAGGAGATATGTAAAGTCTAAAGTCTATGCAAACCATCTCGCTTAGATTCAGGCCTTGGAGCAAAACATAACCCGTGGCATTTGCCAGTCACCAGTTGAAATGCTCAAAAGAGTCATCGAAAATTGAACTCAACGGCTGGACCATATGAGCGCTTCAAAATGGATCACCATTTACATATCCATATGTACCGATATATTTATGAAACTAACGAAGTCGAAAATACAATAATAAAATTTTATTTATTTTGAATAAATTCATTTAAAATATTTAATTCCGCGATTTTGTACGATTCTTTATGTTCTTTGTATTCCTATTGTTCACCCTTTCATCGATTTGAAACGAGCGAGAAACCGAAATTTTCTTATACAGATGGTTGAAGAAAAATTTTTGTTTCTTTATACCACCCTAATGAAGATGTGAAGCATCGCATTATGTCATGCTATTGCAGATTGCAAAGACAATTGTTGAGCAATTGCAATTAATGCTTGGCGATGAGTGGCTGCACTAACTTGCTAATTCTTCACACTTCAGTGTTGAAGTGATATGCATACACATATATAATAAACGTACTCACATACATGTGTGTACATATACATGGTAAAATAATTAAGAAGCTGATGATGATGGAGCAAAAGAAGAAAAACAACAATGATGCCAAAATCATCATACTCACTCGCTTGCTAAGCAGCAGCGTGTACTACAATTAGTGTGACATGCAATG